TGTGTGCACATGTATGTGTGTAAATGGGCACGTGCCTGTTTTCTCACCTTTAATACAATTCTTTCCTCATTGGCTGATTCTGCCTGCTGTGTCTAAGGTTTCCCCTGCTGCCACCTGTTGAGCTCAAGATTTTTTTCCTGCCTTTTAATTCTTTAACTGGTGGAGAAAACGAAGCCAATCCGGAGCCCTGGAACAGAGCAGCTGTGCTCTAGCTGGAGGAATAGACGTTTGCTGGTGGATCTCCAGAAAGACGCACAACACCTTTATATAGCAAACCGTATAAAACCTACACCTGCCTCCCTACACTGTTTTAACACCTAATAAAGGCAAGTGCTCCATAAAGGCTTCTTGAACTGACTAAGAAATAACAATAAAAGGCCTTGCATCAGCCCAGACACGTTTGTTGTTCAAATATTCTTCACTTGTAGTTGGTTGAATCCAAGGAGCAATTATGAGAAGGACCATGGTAAGGAGCCGACAATATTGCAGTTTCTTGCTTCTTGCCCACACTTAGGAGTCCTCGTCCCCGAATTCAGGAGGTAGGAAACATGCCCATGAAGTCAATGCTGGCTACAGGAGTTCTGGGTTCGAGACGGGCTATTGCCGACTCACAGCGTGACTCTGGGTAAGCTGTTGTCCTCTCTGGGCCTCAGATTTGCCGTTGACGATAGCTTTTGGAGAAGATGACTATTACCTGGCTGCTTAGGGTGTGTGTGGTGGGAAGCCTTATCTGGAAGCTCAAGTCCTGTCTGCCAGGCTCAAAGCCGCAAGTTTCTGACACTTGCTCTCTATGCTGCGGTCTCTGTTCCGCAGGGTTCAGTTGGCCTGGATGTTGGCTCCCTCTAGTGGCTCAAAAATAAACTTTTTGGGGGGAGGAGAGGGACACAACAGGAGTTCATTCCCTTCTGATTTATCCCCCTTTGGTTTTTTGTTTGTTTGTTTGTTTGTTTGTTTGTTTGTTTTTAACATTTCCAGGCGTGGTTGGAAGCTCCTGCATCCAACTGTCACAGGAACTCCCGCCGCTCATGGCTTCAAGAGAAGCCACAAGGATTTGGAGTTTCACACACTGCTATTATAGTTGCTACTCCATGGGAAGCTGAACGTTTGCAGCATGACACCAGTGACCCCCGGAGTCGTTCTCCGCAACAACAAGGGTCATAGGTACTGTACTGCCTAGGAACCTCACCTGCCTGCGAACAGGGCTGACCCCAGAAGGCCTCAGAAGCAGGCAGAGGAACTCTCATTGAACAACATACGAGTTACAGGGGTGAGTTTTTCAAACAAGCAAACTGGGTTTGAGTCCCACTTCCCAAATGGCCCTTGGCAGTTTAAGCTCTCAATCTGTCCACTGCCTCACTTTAAAAATGGACAAGAGTTTGGATTGCCTAGAAGCACAGACTGAAGACAGCAACCAGCACACGACACGTGCTCAAAAGTAAACGAGACAAAACTTTCTGGACAGAAGAAGCAAAATTACTGCATAAAGCTGCAGTGTCGACAGTGCGGGTGTGGATTACCTACCCAATGAGCTAAACTTTGGACGGTGTATAAAAGGCCAGTAGCTTCTGAGGCATGGGGCTAAATTATCCTGGTCTTGATTTCAATGTCATGCTCCCCAGATGAATTCAGTAAGTCATTTCATCTCCAAACCTGGGCTTCCTCTCAGTGATCTAAAAGCCGATGCATAAGAACACAGGTAGGGAAACTAACTGGTCTACCCATGAATAGAAGGGCCTGGTGCTTCTGAGTGCCGTGGGAAAGCACTTTGCTCTTGGCTGAGTTTGAACTAGAGTGTTTATGTAATCAGAAGTGTGTTTTGAAAAGCTCTTGCCTGGTAGCCGAAAGGCCTCCCCAGAAGGGTTACACAAAGCACTGCAAATACCCCCAAATCTTGTGTCCCAGCTGAGACCCTGCTCCAAGCCAGCTATCTACTTGACACATCCTCTCGGTGTCAAAGGACACAGCTGAACTCATAACGATTCAGGATGCGAATTTTTCCACACAGTCCCCATCTCCAGAAATAGCATCATTGACCACCCACTGGTTGAAGCTAAATATCTAGGGGTCACCTTCATCTTCCCCTTTCCGTCTCTACCTACACCAACACACCAACAAATGTCCACAAATATCATCATCCCCCCCCCAACCAAGTATAAGTCAAACACACAACCATCCTGTGTTCCTAGCCTCTGCAAACCTCTTAAAGTGGCCTGCCTGCCCCCATCCCTTTGGTTGTGAGCCACAAGCAGCCTCAATCTGAACTGGGCATAGATTACAGATCTATAATCCAAGCCCTTGGGAGGCTGGGGCGGAAGGAGCTAGAGTATGAAGTCAGATTTGACTACACAGAGTTCCGAGTCCATTATAGCGGTATCCTGTCAGGAAGTAGGAAGGGGGAGGAAAGAGGGAAGAAAGAAGGAGTAAGTGAGGAAGGAGGGAGGGAAAGAGGAGAAGGAAAATGGGGAGGAGAAAGAAGGGAGGTGGCAGGCACATAGAAAGGAAGAAATAGACATGAAAAGCCCGGAGCTCGACCACGTCTCTTTTCCATGGAAGATTCTGCACTACCCCACCCCTGGGTTCTGGGGTAAACCTCTGTCCCTTCTCCATGTGCCTTCTCACAGGGACCAGCCACACTAAGTTCCTTCTGGTTTTGAAGACTGGGGCCACTGTGCCCTCCTCTAGGGACACCTTCCTCCGCAGTCACAGCGTGCCGTTCTTTGGATCACAGAGCAGTCCCCAGTCTCGATGACTGCAGTGGCCCTCATGTGTTTATCACTCTTCACTTTTCTTCTGTTTAGCGGAGCCCATGGTCTGTCTGTGGCTCCTGTGCCCTTGTGTGACCCTTTCTCCCTCAGGTGGAACATTCCCAAGACTTGTTTCTAAAGAACAGGCACCGCGACAAGATACATGTGATTGTGCATACACCCTGTATTACTCAAAATGTAACACTCATCTTAAGTCTCTTTCTTGGTGGCTTTAAAGACACAGACTGCCTCTTTGTTAGATGTCAGGAGAGGAACATGAAGTAAAGAACTAGAGCCTCAGTCTGTAGCTGTGAAGGAACTGTAGGTGATCCATGACCGTGTGTACTAACTAGGACTTCAGTCTGTAGCCGTGAAGGAGCTGTGTGTGACCAGTGACCGTGTGTACTAACTAGGACCTCAGTCTGTAGTCGTGAAGGAGCTGTGTGTGACCTGTGACCGTGTGTACTAACTAGGACTTCAGTCTATAGCCGTGAAGGAGCTGTGTGTGACCAGTGACCGTGTGTACTAACTAAGGCCTCAGTCTGTAACTGTTAAGGAGCTGTGTGTGACCCATGACTGGGTACACTTGGATTTAGATCTTTCCCAGATACACCTCAGAGAAGAAGCCCCACCCACCCAATCCTGCTAATATTGCTATGCACTTTTATGCCACTAGCTGCTGAAGATTGTTGATCAGTGATAAATACATCAATCACAAGTACAACTGTTAATTGCTTCCCTATTAGACAGTAAATCTTGGGAGCAAGGCCAGGGACCTCAGTGTTCTCCAAGACTGCAGTCTCAGAACCCAGCTAGCTGGACAGCAGGACACACAGCTCAGACCCTTGCATGAAGTCAGGAGCTTTCCAATGAAGAGTTGTATCTACTACTACTTCATGGTGTGACAGCCTTGGGCAATTCTTGTTCTCTAATGGATGGATTCTCTTGAGGGGCAAGTGAAGCTGGATAGCATAGGTTGTAGGAAAGTTGAGAACTTTATGTCCCACTGGGGCCAGCGGCACCATTCGTTTCTCCCAGGAAACTTCCTTTTCTTCTGGTATCCCTAGGGGGCCTTCTTCCTTCTTGCCAACCTCACCAACTGTGGGACCAAAGTGGCGGACCTAGGTGCTATCCCAGTTCTTGCATGTACACATGTGCCATTTGAGCAGATGCTATTATACTGGCCACTGTGATTGGTTCAAGGTCGGTCACACAACCCAGATTATCCAATCAGAGTCAAGCCTGGAATCTGAGCGTACAGAGCTTTTCTAAGCGAGCAGAGTGCAACAAAGAGCTGAAGAGAATGCTGTGTGGGGCAGACTTGCTGAAAAAAACAGTGCACAAGAAGGAAAGTGAGGTGAAATCATATGAGGTCCAGATCTTCACAATGCACGATCCTGTAGCCAGCCTAGACTACAGCGGGGCCGTCTCAAATACAATAGCAAAGATCTGCCCACTGGGTTTTGGTTGAATGAAATGACTACTTCTCTAAATCACTCCAACCCCTTTGAAAACAGCTTTGAGTTGCGTGTTGTCTCCAGCAAATAAATAAGCTGTGTACTGTGGTCTGAGTGTGAGAAGTCCCTCATAGACTCATGTATTCAGCTCCTGGTACTTGCCAGAGGCAGGCCCTGAGGTTCTCAGCTGAGCTCAATTTCCAGTCCTCTAAATGCTTCGTGACTACATGTGCAACGTGACTTGCTGCCATTCCATCCCCGCCATGATGGGCTGCAGTGCCATTAACTATAAGCCAGATGAGCCTTTCCGTCCTAACACTGCAACTTGTTGGGTATTTGTTCACAACAACCTGAAAAGCAACTTGGGCTCCAAATTACATAGGATGGGCTTTGAAATCAACAGAGAAATTGCTGCGGTTTTATGTGTGCCCTGAGGTCCGTGTGTTAAAGCCTTAGTGACCAGACCATGGTACTAAAAGGACAGAAGGAACCATTAGAGAATAGGACCCAATGCGAAGAAGTTAGGTCACGGGGGACTGCCCTTACATATTGGGACCCCAGGCTCTTCTTTCTGCTCCCTAGCCACCATGAAGTGAGCAGGCCTCCGTCAGGAACCCCAGCCATGTGCTGCGCCATTACAGGTTCAAATCCACAGGACTAATGGACTCTGTACTGGAACTTCTAAACCGTGAGCCACAGTTTTTCCTTTATAAAGATAATTATCTCTGGTATTTTGTCATGATAGCAAACATCTAATTAATGCATGTCTGGCATATGGAAATGAATAGGAGAGAAAGCATAGCAAGAACCAAATAAATATTTAATAACTGTAAAGAGGAAACCACACAGGCTTTTTTGTTTGTTTGTTTTGTAGTCTTCAGTATGTGTTTGGTTTGTTTGTCAAGAAATGGCTTGACATGGCAAACTCTTTTAAAAACAATATAAACATATCAAGTACGAATATGTCAAAGATCAAGGCACTCAACAACTAGGCCTTGAGACATTTTCTAAAGGACTCCTGGCTGCAAGGTTAAGAGTGCTTTTCAAGTCAGGCCATGATACCCAGATGTTGCTGCTCTTTCTGATAGAAAAGCAATAAAGGCTCAAGGCTGACTCTCTTTGGGTTCTTTCTTTTACGTCTGATTTCAAATGACTGGAGAAAACGCTCTTCATCTTCCTCCCCCCTCCCAATAAAATGAAACTAAACTTCAAAAACAAGCGACCTTACCCCAGTTGGGACCTAGGACTCAACCCAGAGGCCCTGGTGGTCAAGCTCCCCAGTTTTAGAAGCCTGGGACTCTGCTAAGATCAAGACTGCATACTGGGGAGTCGGGAGGGCTGGGGAGGTGGCCCCGGCCACTGCAGTTTAGACACAGCGAGCAGCGAAGCAGAGCCAGCATCCAGCCCTCTCTCTGAGCTATGCTCCAGGCAGAGAGGCCAAGAGCTTTCCCGGCATGCTTAGGAAGCAACCTCTGGTTCTGTAGGGCCTGTCATTCCTTGTAGAGCCCCTCAAAGTCTGCAGACTTCATAGCCAGCTGACAGTTGGTGTTGGCATGTTGCTGGGTCAGGGGCCTGTTGTGTGAAAAGACAAAATGGTTAGTTTAGGAGCAATACCAAGAATGGCCCAGCCACGTGTGCAGCACTCTTGACTGGTGTGTTCTCTGAACTCTTGTCAGAGAAGGTAAGAAAGCTGAACCCCTGTCCAAGCTGACTGACACCTTACGAAGGTCTAGCAAATGATGTGTCTTTGGGGAGAATGAGGAAGAGCACTAGGGAAAGCCTTCACTTGGGAGAACGGGTCTCTCGGGCTCGTTTGCACGCTCATGAGCTCTCTCACAGGTGCCCTCCCCCGAACATGTTTGTACCTGGAGCTGCACCAGTTACGGCCTTGTGGAGGCAAACCCACAGGCTAAGGATGGCAGCGAAGAAAGGCAGAAGGCGCTCGGTATGTTGGTGACACCATACTGTGGTTGTACCAGCCCTGGGCTGTCTCCATCTCTTGGTTATCCAATAAAAACAAAAACTTATTTGAGTTAGTATCTACCTCAGGCTATTTTGTTTTTAATTAAAACAAAACATTTCTACCTGGTTTGGCAAGAAAACCAAACCAAACAGACAAAAAACAAGGAACCTTTGCTCTGCTCTTCTTGCATTTTGTAAGCAAGTGTGTGAAGGGGCACTGGGCAGTGTGGCAGGCTCTGCTATCCCAGCTGTCTGGGAAGCTAGGGCAGGAAGGACATTGCAGTTTCAAGGCCAGCCTGAGCTACAGAGTGAGTTTAAGGCCAGCCTGATCAACTTCGTGAGAGCTTATGTCAAAATTTAAGGATGATTTTTATATCATCCAAGGATATATATTGGTTTTTTGAGACAAGGTTTCTATGTGTAGCCCTGGCTGTCCTGAAACTTGCTTTGTAGACCAGGCTGGCCTCAAACTCATGAAGATCCTCCTGCCTCTGCCTCCCAGGTGCTGGGATTAAAGGAGTGCACCACCACCACCTGGCTCAAGAATAATAACTTTAAAGGCCTAGAGAATTCAGAAGCCTAAATTCTGAATTCAGTCTGCAGTAATTGGATGGAGTGAGGTATGGGGAAGTCAGGCACACTCTGGCTATTTGGGGAGACCAAGGGTAATGTGGGGTGAATGATTTGTGTGGTCTACAAAGGCACATGCTGCCCTGCCCTTTACTTTCCCCTACCCCACCTGCAGGCCCTAGGAAGTCTCTCCAGCACCTTTGATGTTAAGATTATCTACAGAGAAGATCACAATGTGTTGCTGAGAAACTGTATATTTCCCTAAATACGGCCATATTAGAATTTGTTTCCTTTTTCTTAAAAAAAAAATGTTATGTCATCTTTCAGTTTAGGGTCAAACCCATAAGGTCATGGAATGAATTGGTAGCTCCTCTTTGATCTCTTGTGCTTTGGGTCAGTCAGTGAGGGACTATCTTTATCTTGAGTGTTAAAGATTTTCCTAATACAGCATCTAATTTATCCTAACACCTCCTATGTTCTTTCCATTCTTGCTATCTCACAGAGGAACAGGGGAGTTTTCACCTAACATGTGGAAGAGCTACATGATTCAGTGAACTGACTCCTCATGCTCAAGGCATCAAGTCATACAACCCTGCGTGGTACAGATCTGCTCAGGCTATGTTAGTAAATGAGTGAAAAACAATGTCACATTTTCACTAAATTAGAAGCAAGAATCATTACAGAGTTAAGCTATACTATCAGAGAACGTCCACAGTCCTCTGGAGAAGGCTCCCCTTCCCCCACTGCACTGTGAGGCTCAGGCCTCTTCAAAGATTTCCTCAGACCACGCAGACAGAGGTACAAGGACTAGCCTCGCTACTTCCAGCAGAACATATAGTTAAGAAAACTATGATAGCCAGGGGTGCCACTGTGCACCTGTAGTTTCAGCACTTAGGAAGGGGTGCTGAAGCAGGAGGATCAAGAAACTGAGGCTAACCTAAACTATATCATGAGTTCCAGCCCAGCCCTGGTCATATAGCAGGAGGTGGGAAAAAACAGAGAAGGCTATTGATAAAATATAAGACAATGTGACCTGTGACCTGGCTAAATTAATTTTGTTTATGAAATATAACCATTTTTCATCAACAAATGTTTTTTGTTTAGATGGGCAGACGGTTCTGTGGTTGCTGCTGTAACTTGCAGTGGGACTGTTATCAAAGCTCTGCACCCACTCCCTGGATGTCTCAGTAGCCTTGGAGAAGGTGAAGAGACTCCTGAGAACAGCGAGTTGAGAATCTCTGCCCAAATGGGAGCCTGATGTCTCAGGAAGAGGATGGAGACAGGAAGAACCAAGTTGAGCCTCGCCACTGACAAACACCACTCTGTGCTTTTCTTTCCTCTTTCTGCGTGTGTGCGTGTGTGCGCGCGTGTGTGTGTGTGTGTGCGTGCGTGTGCGTGTGTGTGTGTGTATGCACATTTTCACATGTGTCATCCTCAAGAACACTGTCTACATCCTTTGAGACGTGGTCTCCCATTGGCCTGAAACTCTCTGAACAGGCTGGGCTGGCTGGCCAGCAAGCCACAGCCACCCAACTATCCCTGTCTCCCCTCTGCCGAGATTACAAGTGGATACCTTGCCTGGCATTTTCATGTTGGTTGTGGGATTCCAAACTCAGATTCCTACTCTTGTAGCTTCCACCTGAGCTTCTCCCAAGCAGCTCATTACGCTACTTTCTGCAGTGTGCTTTTTAAGCACGTAGCCTAATTTAAGCAGAGTTCAAAGGTAGGGAGGGATTTTAGCTCTAAAGCATTGCCCTCAGTGAGCCAAATAGGGCACTGTGTGTCCTTGAAAGCTGATAGTGATCAAAGCAACTTCTGAGAAACTGGTACCATTCCAGGGATTATCAGCTAAGCAATCTCGTGAGAACAACCCCTGAGCAATTTAAGATCACAGACACATCAACAAAAAATAATGACAGGATAAACTTTTTGAGGGGAAGAGGAATGCTGGAGATCAAACCCAGGCCCTTGAACATGCTAGGCAAGTGGTAAAGCTGTCTTTTGTTAAGATGTTCATGGGCTCTAGTGGATTTTTCTTAGAGCATGGACTAGCAAATCAATTATGGTTATAGGGGCAAACTTTGGCAAGTCATCAGTTTTTGTAAAGTTTAAATAAAGTTTTATTGGAACACAGCCAGACCAGTTTATTTGCTTATTATCTGCTCTCATGGTACAGCAGCAAGCTGAGAGGCTGACCATGGTCTAAATACCCTAGAATCTTTACTATCTGCCGCTTTCCAGAGATTGTTGGCTATGTTTTATAGCCGCTTTATATTTTGGCTGAGAGTTTTTACCAGACTCAGCCGACCTAGATTTAAGTTCCTTCTCGGCTGTTCTTAGCATGTGCACTTGCCTTTCATTTCCCTATCACAGAATGAGGCTCACCCCAAGGGTTAAACGAGATGAGGCTGGGAAGTGCTCAGCAGAGATTCTGCACTGAGCAAATACCTGAGCCACAGTCGCCAAATTAGCGAAAATTAGTGACGTACAAGAGAGACTCAATACGTGGGAACTTAAGAATCAAAAATCTATATACAGCACAAAAATCATGCATCAAAAAAGCGGTCTCTGAAAAGCCCTGAGTAGCTGAGGTAGCACATTATGTCTCCCTAGCACTTCAGCACCGCTGGGTTTCCCTCCAGCATCTAAAAAGGTCACTGTTCCTCCAGACCCAGGAGCCACACTGTGGGCAGGGCGACTCCACAGAGTAAATATGAGCCATGTTCACTATGCTGAGATGCTCACACCAAACAGAGGAGACCAAGGTAGCATCCCAGCTCCTGTACCACCCTGGAAGGTGGACATGGCTACCTGATGGGTTAGCCTTTCTCCAAAACCTCCTAAACTACCCCCATTTGACCTTGTAAAGTAAGTAGAAAAATGAGTAACTGCCTGACGAAGCTACTACAGTTGTGAGATGAGCTCTATGGGCGATGGACAAGGGCAGCAATGTTTGTGTGCACGTGTGCATGTATGAAACTCTACTGGAAATGCGGAGCTGACAGCTAATGTCTACGGGCAACCGTGAGGAGCACCTGCCGCTTATAATTTAACTGCCGGACACCAAGTGGGATTAGAGAGTTATCTGTGTGGATCCCCCAAATACCCAAGGTTAATTGTTCCACTGACACGCATTTACCTGGGAGAAAACCAGTAGTTCATGAGGCAGGACACTACCACATAGGAGATCATGGCTATCCCTGACATGACAAGCGCCACGAAGCCCAAGCCACAGAGGATGCAGAGCAGTGAGAGGCCGCACACAGAGATAATCAGCCCTAGGAGGAAGCCATGGTTAGGAGGTGCCTTCATCAGAAATCACTGAAACTCAGAGGACCCTGGGCCAGGGCATTTAAAATATGGCAACTAACTCGGAATTTTGAAGTCAGGAGATTTCCCATTAAAAATTATAATGGCATAAGTTCCACACCTGGGTAGGCCTCAGCTTCCGGCATCAGCAGGTGGGGCCTCTGGTTGCTTCCATCCCCCACCATTGACAAACTATGTTACACGTGGGGTCTCCTTGCTTGTTTTGTTGCCTGTCCAATTTAAAGTTCAGAAGGAGTAAATCACGTCCCAGATCACAATGGTGGAAATGGGCAGCTGATGGAACACGAGAGCCCGCGTTTTAGCTCCTCTGACAGGCTGCCTTGCGCCAGAAAGGAGTCTTTGATTAAAATGGCAGGTGTTCAATACTGTCCACCCTACTGAGTTACTCCCCAATAGCCTTGGGCAGAGCACCTTCCAGTAACACGGCCCCCATGAGGGCGCCCAGGGAGGTGAGCACCACAATGAGCAGGAAGACGCCAACAGGGACGGCTGACATGGTAACGAACATCAGCATGGCGAGAGCCAGGAAAGGATGCCTGTCCAGGTACCGACCCACCGGGGACGTCATGAAGGCCACCACCTGCAGGCAAAAGACAAAGAGCCAAGGTTAAGGGCTGTGTGCAAACCTCAGATTGAGCTGATCTGCCTCAGCTGTGGGAAGTACGGCCATAGGCAGAAGCCTCGGGCAAGTCAGAGGCTCCCAGATATCAATATGAAACATCTCCCGAGACGTGAGGTACCTGGCAGCAATATAAGAAAGCTGTGGGAAGGGTGGCAAGGGTGAGGTTCCCACCCGGTGTCAAGATCTGTGAGAGGAGGAAAGGTCATGTCACTGCTCTCTTGCCCAGCACACACCATCTCTGAAAGGCACCCTCTTATGTGTGCAATGTGCCTACCGCTCTGCAGCCAAAGTTCTCATAACTAAGGTCGCAAAGGAACAGAGGAGTTAAGTCATAGCTACTCAGCATCTCTCAAGGGCTTAGTGGAGATGAGGAGCCTTAGGCTCCACCTGATATCTGTTGCATCCAATTCAGCTTTTCAACAAGAGCCCAGGTGCTTTGTGTATACATTCAAGTTTCAGATTAAGTGGCTAATTTGTAGTCATCCAGTTTCCAAGCGACAAATCCTAGATATTCAAAGCTAAAATCTTTGACTCCAAATGCATGCATTGGCTTGTAACCTCAATGCCTTTATGGTACCAGCCTGGATGCTATAGTTGGCCACAGACTGATGATGGCAACCTTATGTTGCTTTAATAATAGGTTACCCACCTTCACCAGGTTAAGACCACACTCCATGGAGAAGGCTGCTTTAGTGCAGAGCTGGTCTTAGTTAAACGCATAAGGATGAGCATTTCCCCTCAGTTTTCAGGTCTCAGGGCTTCACCCTCTTATTACTGGCATTGAAGCCCATTCCCTGAAAGATCCCATCATTCAAAAACCTTCCTCTAGAAAAGTAATCACCAATCCAGCCATAAACTCTGCAGTCTATAACAGTCTGTGCCTTGCCTGCGTGTGCAATAGTGGCACAAATGCTATGTGAGTAACCACTCCACGACTGGAGTTAAGGCCCACTCCACAAGGTGGAACCCATGCTTGACATTGCTCCCATGGCCAAGAACCTAGACTAGATAGGCCTAGGGGAAAACCAAATACTATTTTTCTGCTAAAGAAACAGCATTAAAATGACTCCTAACTACATTCTGCTGTACTCGTAGATCAGTGCCTCACTCAGTCATCAGCAGAGACTTTTTTTCCTGCAGATGGGAACTAATACAGAGACACATAACTGGAAAATTACAGAGAATAAGAGATTTGGGAATATTCAGTCCTAAATGGGATGCCTTCACCAAACCCCTCCCTCAGGGTTCACAGAGCTATGAGAGGAGGCAGAAAGATTAAAGACTCCAAGGAAACAGTGTCTTCCGGACACACCAGGACTGACGCACGTGTGAACTCACAGAGACTGTGGCAGTACGCACAGGGCCTGCACAGTTTCAAGGAGGACGGTATCCCAGCACTGAGAGGGTCAGATGCACATGAACTTCCACCCCTAACTAAGAAGCTATCCAGTTACAAAGGGAAAATGAGTTTTCTCCAAGACAGTCTCACTGGGTTATGAGTAGCCCCCACGCCCAGCAGTAGATGGCCAACAAGAAATGAACTCAGTGGTATTTTTGTAGACTTTTTGTCTCATATTGCTTTGTTTGGGTGTTTCTTATCTGATTGACCTTTTGCTTGTATATTATTTGTTTTCCAATTTTGTATTTTTATGGATTGTGTGTGTTTCTTATGTTGTTTTCTTTTTGTTTACTATACTTTGATTTTTGTTTGCCTGTTTATTCTAGGATTGGTTGTTTTGCTTTGTTTTGTTTGTTTGTTTTGAGACAGGATTGCTCTATGTAGCCCTGGAACTTACTCTGTAGACCAGACTGACTTCAAACTTAGAGATTTGCCTGCCTCTGCCTACCAAATGCTGGAATTTAAAGGTGTGCACCACCACTGCCCAGGATACCTGTTTATTTTAAAGAGAGAGAAAGAAAGGGCATGGAGTTGGGTGGGTGCCCACTCTCTGGGAGGGGAAAGAGGAGGAGGAGGAGGAGGAAACCAGGATGGAATATATTATATGAAAAATATTTTTTTTCAAGCAAAACAAAACAACAACAAAAGCAGTGACATAAATATTAAAAAAGCTGATTTCGGAGCGCTTCCTACATCGAAAACTGGTCTTTCCTGTTTCTCCCTCCTTTGGGGCTTGCAGGCCAGTGGCTGAAATGAAGTGCCATTATCAGAAGTGCATCTTTCCAAATCACATACTTCTCCTGGCAACAGATTTCCAGCCAAGTAATCGTAAGGGTGGGAACTTGGGGCAAGTTAGAAACAGGAGTCTCTATAGCTCAGGTAAAGGCAACTAGGCACGGGCTCACCTTGTTTAAACAGACAAGGCCCTTCAGAGCAGCCACAGACATTGTCCTGGGCGTCAGCACTGCCTCCTAAAGCATGACATATTCCACCTCCTGGCACACCACACAATGTCTTCTAGCCATGCCGCCTAGCAACCTGTAACCACACCAGGAATTGCCTCTGAGGCCATCCTTCATTAAGGATTTGAGGTGAGAGGGAGGCAGATACATTTTGTAAATGCTAAAGAGAGAAAAACTATTTCCCATAGAAATCCAGCACCTGCATGAGATATGCTCTATGTATCTGAGGGGAAAAATCTAGGATAGCTCATTAATTATTTCTCATGATAATTACAGTCTTAAATTATGGTTTGGGATATGATGTGGGTGTCCCCTCTGTGTGCTATGATTACCATTAATGAATAAAAAAAAACTGCCTTGACCTGTTGATAGGACAGAACTTAGGGAGGCGGGGAAGACGGAACTGAATGCTGGGAGAAAGAAGGACAGAGGTAGAGGGGACGCCCTGGATCCGCCGCCAGAGATAGACGTGCTGGAACTTTGCTGGTAGGGCACAACCTTATAGTGATGCACAGATTAATAGAAATGGGTTAAATTAAGATGTAAGAGTTAGCCAATAAGAAGCTAAAGCTAATGGGCCAAGTAGCGATTTTATTAATACAGTTTCTGTGTGATTATTTCAGTTCTGGGTGGTCGGAATGAACAGGTGGCTCCTTGCAACAGGAATATATTGGGTTTCTTGAGATATTTTGTTAAAATTAATTTCATGGGTTCCTTTTTTATTTTTAATTTGAGACAGAGTGTCATTATTGCCTTGAACTTGTAATCCTCCTGCCTCATAACTGGAGTGCTAGAATGATAAGTAAGAACCACCACCCCTGACTCGTTTTAAAAGAAAAAAATTTTAAAAAACATTTAAATTATATATGTGACTCTAATATGTTTATTGTACTTTGAAAGTTTTATCTCATGGGAAAAATAAGGGGTAAATTGAGAGCATGTGGTGGGAACTGTGACAAACACAAAGGAGCAATTTAACTAAGAGGAACCTGGGGTAGGTATGCAAGAGGCAATTGGGGAGATTTGCAGAAAACCAGGCGAGAGCATAAATGGCCATCTGAGCCAGAGGAGGATGGGAGGGATGTAGTCTGCAGTTTAAATGACAAAAAAGAAACCAATGGGACCTGGGAGCAGTCTGGTGTGGGGAATCCAAAAAGCATACAGTAGGGCTAGCCTACTTCCAGTCCTCAGAGAGTCCCCCTCTTTCAGAGTCTTTTCTGGGTCTGGCCTCTAAACACCCCCAAAACAAAGGTCCTTCAGAATGCAAAGAAACCATTTCTAAAGAGTCTATCAATTAAAGTAGGAATGGTGGCACATAGATATAGCTCTAATTTCAGCTCCTGGGAGGCTGAGGCAGGGGTATTGTGTGTTTGAGGCCAGCTTGGGCTGTCTACCAAGATTACATGTTAAAAAGAAAGGAAGGACGAAAGGAAGAATGGAAGAAAGGCAGGCAAGCAATCCCCATCATCAATCATTAAACTATGTGGTGGTTTGATGAGAATGGCTCCCAGTGGCTCAGATATTTGAATAGCTGGTTCCCAGCTTGCGGCACTGATTGGGTAGGTTTATAAGGTTGACCTTCCTGGAGGAAGTGTGTCACTGAGGGTGAGTTTTGAGAGTTTAAAGACTTACACCATTATGAGACTGTTCTCTGCTTCCTGCTTGTGCTTGAGACATAAGCTCCCAGCTATTCCTGCCACTGTGCCTGGTGCTTGCTGCCACGCTTCCCCAAGGTCATGGTAAAGGACTCTTAGCCCTCTGAAACCATCAACCCAAAGTAGACCCTTCCTTCTGCAAGTTTCTTTGACCATGGTATTTTATCACAGCAATAGAAAAGTAGCTAAGACGAAACAGTTCAATCCAGGAATTGCTTTCTCTAGGAAAGAATGACCTTCGTCAGGACACAGTGTCATGGAGACAGCATGGTTCATCCATACCTAACATCTATACTCATTAAGCACAGGTTCCAGGCACCTATTTAAGAGTCTAACCCAAGGGGTTTGCATCTTGCCAAGTGTAAAATCAAAATAAGCATGGCCACGAAGACCTCCTACCTACAGCAGGTAAGGAGAACGCAGGAATCATTCCCAAAGCAACACCTTCGAGCAAGGGAAGCATGCTGGTTTTATCCAGACAGCTACACATATCCATTCAGGAAAACACTGTAGAGGTAAGCGAACTCCCAGCATGCTGAGTTCCAGAAGGAAAGATTTGGGGACGTGCTTAACTCAAGGTCATAAAGCGCACGTTCAAAAGGTGAAAAGAGCACACAGGAGCACTTCAGGGCATTCTCAACTCACATCACTCAAAATAGTGATACGAACTCCTTTGGGACTCTGTGTGTGTGTGTGTGTGTGTGTGTACGCACGCGCTCATGCTCACTTGGGTGCACATATGTGTGCAACACATTTGAAGACCGAAGGACCCCCTCGGGTGCTGTTCCTCAGGCTCTGTCTATCTGACTGTCGCTCACTGGCCTGGAACTCACCAGGGAGGCTAAACTGGCAGGCGACTGAGCCCCAGAGATGCGCCTGATTCCACCTCCCCAATACTGGAATATAAGTATAAGCCATCACTCCTGTATTCCTCTTTAATGACAGTTCTGAGAATTGAACTCAAGTCCTCAAGCACCTTACCTGCTGACCCACCCCCCGAGGCCCATTTTCTTCAGTAAGTTTTAATTGAAGAGAAACAAAGGCTACTTTGAAAGTATGTCGGCAAGGCTTTCTCTGAAGGTGCCTGTCTGACTCAGCCCGACATTTCAGACTTGCCATATATGTCTTCATGTCTTTTCCCTACAAAGTTGCAGGGCAGAGAATGGAGACCAGCAGTAACAGTGCCCAAGCCCAAAGGCTTCAAACATCACCACGTTTCATCTTCCTGGCAACAAACAGCATGCAAAGGGGAGGACAGAAATTGAGAGAGCTCAGCAGGCTGTGGCAAGCCCTGTGATCTTCCATCGCTAACCTGGAGGTAGAGACGGGCCTTCGACCCATGCTTTACAGATGTGAGCTGCACTCAACAACCCAAAACGCCAGACTTCAAGAGATTGGCACCAGCATTAGCCAGGCTCAGTGCAAATGCCTTCTCAAATGGCATCCCAGATAATCCTCCCAGCAGCCCAAGGCCTGGTGTTGCTCATTCCAGATAAGAGGAGCTGGAAACAAATTGAATTAATGTACCCAAGGTCGGACAAGGGCTGTTTATTTATAAATGCAGGTTGGCGTGAAGGTTTCGAGAGTCAGGCCCACGTGGTCAGGGTTTGAGACACAATGGTTCCTCCTGAGGCTATTCACAGCCAGAAAAACTCTCCACTGTGAGAATGTAAGACTATTCTCCTGCCTTAGAGGAGAAGGACCCAGTAGGCAGGGGCCAGCGACAGCAGTCAGGATTATCACACAAGTGATACCAAGTCAGAGGCACCATGCTACAACAGCCTGTCCCAGATTAGGCTCTGGGTGCCTGCTGGCACATGATCTTGGCACATGATTTATGGCATGTGAATTCCTGGAAGGTGGGATCTAAAATCTTCCTCATGTCAGGAGTAGTCCAACATGAGAAGAAAATCATCTATCACAGATAATTCACATTAGGAGATGCCAACCTGGTCACCCAGCCACTCCTTCTGCTTCCCTGAAAACTGCTCCCTCCCCTAGCCGGAGGACATCTGATAAGCCATATGCATTTCAAACAAAATCAAAGATCCCAGTCCAACAGCCACTGGATAGCCACAGGTGATGGCGCCAACCTCACTGGTGTTTCTGTGAATAGGAAACAAACTTCTAGATCTTCAACAGGTGCTAAGGGAGCTGTGAGGAAAGGAGGGCACCTGCCCGAACAACTGTGTTTGCCCACATCAGTGGGAAAGCCAAGGGGAGTGGGCTGCACTCTGGGAATGACTAATGTGAGAAGCTACACAGCCCAAGGGAGAGAGCGAGCGTGTTGAGAGCTACTCCTGGCACCAGGCACCAGTCTGATCCTGGCTCTAGTCATGAGACAGCCCTTCTCTACTTCTCCTGTGGCTCATGGGGAAGCCTTAAAGTCTCCTAAAGCCATGGAAGCCCCTAACTGTTTGCTTGCTTAAACTATTTTAAGCAGGTTCCTGTCTCTCGAATTCTAGAAGTAAAACTGTTAAGAACTGACCACGCACTACAGACAGGCTGGAGCAATTTCACGCCCATTCCATCTAGAGGCCAATCTAGCCTCATCTGAAGTTCAAAGAGCTCACTAAAACTGTGAGTGAAGAACACAGATTCATGGGGGGAAGAAACTGTCTCCATTTCCCAGAGCCAAGGGGCGGCTATATAAATTACAGTATGTCAATCGGATGTCCTTTGTTGATCTTCTAGTGGCACGTGTAAATTACTCTGAAGACCCACACTTCAGTATGAAAAAACAGCACCTTGCCAAACAAAAATAAAAATACACAATTACCTCTGCTGTGATTGCACTCACTATTATGTAAACATTACACACTGAAGGGTTTTACTACTCAAGGGGATCACCACCACTGTGTGTAAGTGACGCTTTTGTTACTATTTGAACAGAAAGTGGCTCCTGCAGACTCACGTGGCCCCTAGCTGCTCACACTGGTTTTGGCAGTTGTGGAGACTACAGGAGAGAGAGCCTAGCAGCAGGAAGAGGACCACTGGGAACATGTTCCTGGGGCTACATTCTACCCTATGTATTCCTGAAGCAATCTCTGTGTGTATGTTTGTATGTCTGTCTGTCTGTCCCCACCCCACTCCCCTGCTGACTGGCTACCATGATATGAGTGAGCTACTCTGTTCTATCCTGACCCAGGACGTCTAAAACCACGAACCAAAATCCTCCGTAACAGAAACTGACTGAGGCAGTCACAGGGGCTTGGCTCTCCTCCTCCCTCCAGACTCACTTCGCATTAGTGTGACCTCCGGGCTGGAGAGAGCGCTAGTTAAGAGTGCTCACTGCTTCTGAAGAGCACTTAAGTGCAGTTCCCAGAATCCACATGGGACAGCCCACAATTTCCTGTAACTCCAGTTCTAAGGATCCAGGGCCCTCTTCTGGCCTCTGCAGGCACTGCACACATGTGATATACATGCATTCAGGCACAAATCACTGAGTGCACACATATACATAAAATGAATATTTTTAATTGGACAATTAACATAATATACTAAAAACTTGTAAGAGAAATAATTTCATGTCAAGACTATCTGAGAACACCCGCCCATAGAGAATTGCCAATTTCCCCATGCTTCTGGGAGTAGGCTAGATGGATAAGTACCTAGCCCAAACCTACTCCAATGCCTACTGCTGAGTTATCAAAAGGAAAGAATGAGAAGTTCATCTGCTTTGAAGGTGCGTATAAATATTAACTAAGATGCACTAAATGCCTGGTACAAGGTTGGAGTTTAGTAAAGGCTCAATCAGTTAATAAGAGTTAATAAGGATCTGCGAATCCTGTGTTTGAGGAGTTTCTACTCACTAATTTATCTGGAACCTAAAATCAGTCCTTTGAGCAACTCTGATGTCAAGACTGAGTCAATGGACAGGAATATTCCCAGCTTGTTATGGTTTGAACCTGAAATTCTCACCACCTCCCCACAACTACACCCTTGGCCAAGCCTTTAGCATGGGGGCCTCTTTGGGACACTGAAGAACCAAACTATGACATCATGGCCTATTTAATGCCACAAAGTTCACAGTTTTTATTTCGAGTTGACAATCTCACTATGTAAAATGCACAGCACCATGACCACCGCCATCAGTATCTTTACTGTTTCTTACAAAGAAGACGTGTGTGGGTTTGAGGCATGAAGCAGCCTGCTGCTGGCCCTGTGTTCAGTGCCAACAGCCAACAGTATGCATTATATACTTCAATGCATCTTTCCAAAAGTACACATAAAGTAAGGACCATATACTGATCTGTTCTGACCAGTGTTAACTTCCCAGTATATACGGCATAGGAGACTGACCTTTGCGTTGCTCTGGAAGGAATCTAGCAGCAAACACAGCTTCCTTCGCAGCGCCTCTAAGTCTCTGGAGACACTTGGCGGCTCGTCTTTGGCCATCTTGAAATGTCCTCCAGTCTCACTCGAGAGTATATCTTCTACCAGTAAGTTCCTTGATGGAGCATGTAGCCCAATCTCTCATGTCGCCTGTCTCTTGCTGTCGCTGGAGGAAACAGGAAGTGTCTTGAATCATTAGTAGTCCCTAAGGAGCCTGTGTCATCCCCTATGCACTGATGGCGGGCATGCAGGTGGACATAACTTGACAATATTTATCAAATTTTTAAGCTGCATAAACTTTGATCCAACAATTTATTTTTCATGAACCTCAATGAGATGATATATGAAAATATCCTCAGAGGATGTGTATCACACGCCTGTTTATAAGATATAATGACCAGCAAGATGAAGAAGCTAAATCCATTTATTATAAACACTTCATTGTTTTACACACACACACAAACACACTCACGGTATAGAAAAAGAGCTAGAAATACATCTCTTAGAGCGTATGTCTTTTAGCTTGAATGTTGAAAAGAGCATATGACAAACAAGAAAACTGAATTCAAGTCTCCAGCCCCTCCTCCTCCCAGTCTTTCTTTTCTCCTACAATAGGGATTGGGTGTTTTCTATTCTTTATTTGGCTCCCAAACACCTTGCACAATGCCACCTTTTATTTATGTATGGTGAGGTCCTCCTCACTCACAGTACCTGTCCCCAAGGCCTTGGCACAATTATTTTCTGTCACTCGACAGCCTGGAATTTGCAGGACTGTCTTCACTTCACATTGTTATGCATTTTCCATGAAGGTAATGAGCCAAATCAGATACACTTTTAACTCTGGCTGAGTTTTCAAATAAAAAAAAAATTACAACGTTACTCTTAGGTTTTCCAGAACATCTGTCTGGGTTGGACAGAATGGGATCTGTGCATATCTCCTTGCTGCCAACTCCCTGATCTCACATACTTGTGCGCAGTAGATTCTGTCACCGTGCCAAAAATAACCGAGATCCTCAGTTTATTTACCATATTGAATATTCCACTTGCCCACTATGCGTTACAGTGAGGAAACATAGCTTACCGCTGTCTACACCACAGAGTCTAGTACACACGGTTTCATCACACCAACTAAAATGAGTTCTCGCCTCTTAGCCAGAGAGAACCAACTCCTACACACATTTATGTCGTTAATGCAACAGCTTGCACTGTTGAGTTTGGGATGGTCCTTCAGTTCACCTAATCTCATCTCTATAGCGGGCTAAAACAAGCCCAG